CCTTTTGCTGCCACAGGCTGCCACAAGCTCCAGCCCCACACTGGTCAGGCTGCCAGAGGTTGCCAAGGGCTCAGGCTCTGGTTCCAGCCCCGCAGCAGCTGGTGGGCTCTAGCCTTGCTACTGCAGGCTATCCGGGGTTCTGCCTGGCCTTGGCTTTGGCCTGCTGCCGACCCTGGCCTTGGCCTGTCGCTGGCCTGATCCTGCACTGCCGGCGGCTGCCCCAGCCCAGTCCTGTTGCCTCAGGCCGTCAGCTCCAGACCACAATTGTAGCCGGACCAGAAAATTCCAGTTTTGGGAGGTTCAGCCTGTAACAGAGAAATTAATTGTTACCTTCAGAGTCATGAAACAGTTCAGAGCTTTAGACTTTGAGTTCTATGCTTGCACCATTAGGCTGTGCCACCAGTACCAGATGCCTTGTTAGAGGTATGGTTTCTGGCATTAAAAAAAATCAGTATTTACTAATGCCTGCCACATAGAGCGCATGTTTTGAGAAGTGGATAGGTCTTAATAGTGACCTCACAGGGCTGTTATGCCACGTGTGGAGGCATCCTGCAGTGACCTGTATTTGGTGGGAAGACTTCTTGCACAGTAATTCAGATGCAAGAATGTCCATTGACAGTGTGATCTCTTGTTATCTTTCATAAGAATGTCTGAGTGTCCAGTGCCATTTGTACCAAACATTCTGCTGAGAATGCCGCTGACTACTTATATGTGGAACACTTACAAGCAGAGATCAGAAGTGCATATGTGTGGTACTAAATGAAGGCAATAGGGAAATGATACGCATGCAAGATTTCTCTCTTCCTCATTTGAGGTAATAGAAAAATGTAGTTTAATATGTTGTAGTGCTAATTGAACCATCCTAATGTTGAAATGCTATCTTTGGTTATACATTGTAGCTGAACAAAAAAATTTTTTTGTACAAAAACGAGTGAAACACATATATGTTTATTAAAGGCCTATCCTTTACCATGTGTAGAGAACTGTGAAGATGTTTCAGTCTGAATTTTTTAACTGTAATTCAATAGTATGTTCATGAGATCATCAAATTTTGATTCTAGGTTTCTTTCGAATTACAATGTATCTTACTTGCTGTGTCATTTAATTGTGTGGGTATCACTGATATCTTTTTCATTAGCACATATAATAAAGGAATATTTATCTATCAGATTGTAGAGCCATGTGGGCACATGCAAAGTTGATGTTATAGGGCCCCATTCCTGGAAATGCTTACTCATGTGAATTTATATTACTCATGTAAGTATTCTCATTGACTGAAGTGGGATGAACAAATCTTCCACAGTGAATATACTTTTCTGGACAAGGCCCTGAGTTAGTAACAGTTCTGGCTGGCTAGACATTGAAATCTGAAAAAGGTTCACTTTGTGATATCAACAGAACATGAGAAAACACAAACACCATGAATAGTTAATTGTAGTGTGAAAGAGGAAAAATTTTATTTTCACCTAGATTGAGATACAAGAATTGCTTACTTACTTGCCCCTATTTTGCATTATTTTAAATGCATCTCAATAATTCTTTCATACATTATATTCTAACTAGTGCTCTTTCTCCCCTTTCTCACCTTCCTGAACATTTCTGACTTTTTGGAATAGGTGACAGTAACTGTGATCATGACCTGTGTGATAAATCGCATAGTAGTCTTCCCAGGAAGATACTGTTCCAGCTGAATATGCTTAGGGCACTTCAATTCAGGAAAACTTCCAATTTTTCAAGAACACTCATTAATTCTGCTCCTTTTTACATCCAGCTCCACCCTTGTTTTAAATTCCTGAATGATGGCTCATGTGACTTTTGAAAATCCCACTAGCAACTGTTTGCCTAATTGCCTAAGTACCTTTTAACAATCTGGACTTCAATGCCTAAATATAGATTTAGGAACCTACCCTAGGCACCCATTTTGAGAATGCCCGGCCTAGTTCAGTTCTAAAAGGGGCTGCCAGATCTGGTCACAGATATTCAGTTGATGGAACTGAAAGACATTTTTTCGACCTTCCTCTGAAGGTAGGGATGCATTTCTAGCTTCTCTGCCCTCAGAGGGCAATCAATCCATTGGGAAATGCTGCCCATGAGCTTCTAGATGCCAAAGAATGGAGCTTTAAAGGATAACTTAATGAAATCCAAGGCAATTTTTTCATGTATCCCCAAAACATGTAGCTATAGCTGTATGCACTGAAAACGTGTGTGTTGGACCACATGTAGTATGTGTTCAGACTCAAGAGGCACGTATTTATTAAAGCTAGGTAAAGCCCGATATAAAAAGCAATCTTGATTCTTTGCTAACTAGTGGTGATACATTGCAAGGAAGGTAAGTGGTAATGATAATGGCAGATGGATTGTGTAGGAGTCCCAACAGATGCAATGCTGAGTCAATCTATTGTTTCAGATGCCTAACAAGATCCATTCCCTCTCCAGCACAGGCCCAACCTTAGGGCAACATAAGCAAGGTGGTTGCCTTGGGCCCCCGCTTTCAGGCCCTGTGCTGCCCGATGCCCATTCTCCCAGCCACTCACGTGCTTTCTTGGCTGGGAGCTGCCCAGCCGTGCAGGGCATAATGCTGCCGTGGGCCCCACAAACTCTTTGGCCAGGACTGCCCCAGAATTTGCCCACATTTAGCCTTACTTCAGTAAGTCCATCTAGTTAGACTTTCCGGAAGACTGTAGAACCCAAGGCTTAGGTTAGGGGGATTACCGTATTTTCCGGCGTATAGGGCGACTGGGCGTATAAGACGACCCCCTATCTTTTTAATTAAAAGATAGGGTTTCATCTTATACCCCAGCGCCCCTCCGCCTCCTTTGCTCCCGGTGTCCCTGGTCTGCTGGAGATGGTCCCCAGCAGACCAGAGGCACCGGGAATAGTTTAACAGGTAACATTACAGACTGGGAGCGAAATGAATTGTTCATGTTGGCTGAAGTGCCTTGTTATGACAGTATCTCCAGCAGGGCCCAAGCCTGAAAAACATTCAGACATAACACAAGATCCTGGTCCACATTTTTTAGAAAGCTTCCCCTCAAGAGTAAGTCAGAAAAATGGGAAAATAATACAGGGAGATTGCACATGCGCGCCTGGGACCCCCCGCCGCCGGCTTCCCCCAAGGCTTTCAAAGCCGCGGAGGGGCTCCGGCGGCGGGGCATCCGGCGTACAAGACGACCCCCGATTTTTGGGGGATGTTTTTTAACTTCAGAGGTCGTCTTGTACGCCGGAATATACTATCTTAAATTGATTTTTCTGGTGGTTGACCTGTCCTGAATGTTAAGCATTCATTTCCAGTGTGCATGAAGGGTAGTTCCCTTTTGAATCTTTGCCCTATGCCATCTTTGGTTTATTAAAAGCTTGTTGATGTTAGGAGCCACAAAAGGGGTCTTGCCCATTTAATTTAATATAAACCAAGCAGAATATTTTTGCGTAAAAATCGTTTTCAGGTTACTGCATCAATGCAGGTTTTAAACTGTATTTATCCATCTATCACCTGCTTCAGAAATGGTTAATTTTTCCAAGTGGAATGTGAATGCTCTTCCATCAAGATGTTGTGACGGTGGTGATGGATTTGAAAGGAAACGCCCATTATCTTTAAAGAGGATTTCCTACATAAATCTACCAGATCTCCCATCAGGAAAGACACTGGGTGTCCTCCAGATCTATTTAAGTCTTTCTGATTATTGAAAGGATTAGTGATGGGATAACAAACTATTAAGCTTTCAGTACACAGCACTTATTGCAGTGCTTGGCCATTCAATGATCACAAAGTGCTAGGTAAGTCAGTATTGTTACCCCCTTTCCGAATGGGGAAACTGCCACACACATATTATATCACTTATCAAAGGTCAAATAGGGCTTTTATTCTCTGCAGTGATTACTCAATTGTTGCCCCAAATGCACGACTCTGCACTCGAGTGAGGTGGTATTTTTAAATCTAGTTGGCTGAGGGTACAGGCTTCTTGAGTTAACACAACTCATCAGCTGCCAAGGGCTTGTCTACATGGGAAATTAGTGCCCAGCAAGCTACAAAAAGTAAATTTAAAGCATAAGCTACTGTAGACTAACTTTGCACATGGACAGTCTTACCATGCGTCAGAAGTGCCTCTGTGTGTTTTAGGTTCATATACTTTAAAACAGGGGTAAAACAATAATTTGTGTAGGGGGGCCACTTCACCAATTTTGGTAGTTGTTGTGGGCTGGCCTGGAAGGGACAGTGTTTTGGGTGGGAGGGACAGTTCCCTCTAGGCACCCCATTCCTCTGGCAGGAGGGAGGGAGGAAAGGAGACTTTGTGAACTCCCCTTTGGGGCGAGGGAGCACACGAAGTCTCTCACTCCTTGACCCACCCTGCTGGAGTGTGCATCACCAGAGGGAATGGCTAGTCATTTTGAACAGCTGGTGGTTCCCTCTGGCGCCCTACGCTCCTTGCAGGGGGAGGAGACTTCATGTGCTCTGATGCCCCTGGGTCTTGATTGGCCTGGGGGTAGGGGCATAGCAGGGAGGGCCATGGGCCGGATCAAATGCCTTGATGGACTGTATCTTGCTCAGCCCTGCTTCAAAGTGTACTAAACCAACCATCTTAACGTGATGTTCACTAACTTCCCCCATAGACAGGCCCCACTGTGCAGCTCAACAGTTACTTTACAGTGTGGTTGCTCACATGTCAGAGTACAGGTAATTAACTCAAATGTGGGTAACTCGAGTTCACTGTGCAATGAAGATTTAGCCACCTGAGTCATTGGCAGATTTGGGAATTTGAACCCAGATGTCCTGAGTCCAGTCCTCTCACTCTATCTACTAAACCACAGATCTTTAACCATCTGTAATTACTATTTAGTTACAGAAGTAAAGAAATTCTTACTTTACAAAATTTGAGTAACATTGGCAATGAATTTAGAACTTTTACTGTGAGTTTATTTAAATGAATCCCTGTGTTTAAAGGATTGTTTCCAATCTGCACAGTCATTTTGCTCATAATGGGAATTTTTCCGTCTATTTCTAGGGTAGAAATCTAGTCACAGGGGAGCTTGGCTACTTTCCAAGTGATGTTGTAAAGCCTTACCCATGCGTAAGTACAAATGCTTGATTGTGTTTGTCAGTATAATAGTTTCCTCTGGAACATTCATAGGAAAAGTTGCCTGGTTCATGCCAGGGTTTCATTAATCCTGCCTTGTGGGAAGCATTATTTTAGTTTCTTTGTGTTTGTATGTTACATTTGTTGTTGTTTAAAATATAACATTCTAATGTTTTTGGCTATTGGATTTAAATTGTAAGTGTTAAGGAAACATGCTCAGGAGACAGATTTCACTTTTGGGAGTTTAATAAATTGTCTAAAGAGTTTCAGATAAATACAACCAGACTATGAACAAATATATTGTGCAGTAAAGCTGCTGTTTTTTAACAGTGAGATGAAAATTCTGTAGTTTTAATCTATTTGCCAGTCACTTTGTGTTACAGAGAGAGATTATACCATAAATAGTGAGTTTAAAATAACCCAGTAAAAGTAAAAACAGAATAAAGAACAAACAAATACATAGATCCTCCAACCAGATCTTTCAGCCCACTTTTGTGTGTCTCTGTATGATTTGACCTGCCTGCATTTTGTGTTAAGAGGACAAATACTCTTAAAATACTAAGAACTGCATCAGGCGATAACAATTACAAACATTAATTTACAGTACATACTCATAATTTTGTGTATGAGTGTTAATAAAGTGTGTATTCCTTCATTGTGTCTTTCCATAATACTGTGGAACAGATCACCATGGTATTTCTCCAAATTTAATATAATTCCATTGAAATCAGTGGAGTTATATTGGTATTAAATCAAAATAATACAGTGGCGAGCCAGGCACTCTTCCTTTGCTCTAAACGTGCTTTAACTTGGTTCACAACTAAATTCAACTTTATTAATAAATCTACTTTGATTACAGTATTCAATATGTCATCATGATAATATTATTATTAAGTGGAGTCAAACAGGATAAAACTGTTTTGACACATTAGGTCAGACCTTAGTTCTAAAAACAAATCCCTGCGTTAGTAATACGTCATAATATTGTTTACCATCAGATCAACATCTCTTTTACCTTTTATAGTCTCACAAACCTGTTCAGAGACTTATTCTATTGTTTTAAATTTATATTCTCTTAAACAAAGGAACAAAGCAGATGCCTACAAAAGATAATATAGTAGAAATCAAAATGTTATGTAACCAGAGCTTAATTTTTTTTGTAACCCTATTACCATATTTTAACAAGCACAAAGTTTGTGGCAGTTCAGTGTCACACAGTCATGCTAGATAGTGTTAGGCACATGCCTTGAGCTAGTGTCAATCACTGGAGCTGCCCTGTGGATTAGGTACACCACTCTAGGGCAGTACCTAAAATAAATATAGGGGTCTACTATAAAAATGGTAGAGGCAATATCTATGCAGATAAGGCTTATTTTGAAAGAGTAACACTCTAGTTTAAAGTGGCAAACTCATATAGTTAAGAAAAACACTTCTGTTAAAGCTACCAAGGCAACATGAAGATTATTTAGTGTCTAGTGACATGACTTTCTGCTAAATTTAGAAATATACTATTAAGCAGAGGGTTGAATGAAAATAACATGGTATTACAGTATAAATAAATATTATTCATAACATGTTAGCAACCAGAGGCGTAGGCTGATGAGAAAGATGAATTGATTCTTCAGCATTACTAACTTGGAAAGGCAAAATATAAATGTCTTATTATGACGAATGATGCAGTTAAAGATGCTGAAATATCTATCAGATTTTCAGTGTATTATAACTTGTACTATTATTATTAAGTGTAACAGTCTTTACAACTGGCCAATATAAAAATTCCCAGAAAAAGCATAAAATACATCAAAAGGCTTTAGAAATTAATATTGAATGAAAAACTGTTGAGTTCCAAAATATCACATTCCAGTCCCTTCTCAGCTATACCAATAAATGCTTTGTTCTTTTTGCAACGTGCAGTATTTGTCAGCAGACATTTTTATACCATATGAATAGTACCAGAATCTCACTGTCTTTTGTTCAGTTTTATCACTGAGGTTGCGTGGATTTGCATGTATAATACAGTGCAAGCCAACAGCTTCTGGTACAAAGTTTGATCATTTTCTTTTTTCTCTGCCATAGACAATCTTTATTGTAGAAATCAACACACTCTAGTGTGTAAAAGGTTAGTGAATGCCAGTGTTCTAGCTGTCCATAACCAAAAGGACCTGCTATGATAGATGAGCCAAACTGATTTAGAATTTCAGATTCCTCCCAATATAGACTTATGCGTCACTAGTATACAGGCAGCTCTTCCCTGCTGCCATTGGTATACTCACATAAAGTAATTTGAACTACTATCCAAAATTTATTCTAACAATATGAAGCGTTCAAGCTGTAAAATTCTGTAGGCTATCCTAGTTACAGACCCAGTTACATATAAAGACTGGCTTTATAGACTGTGTTTTTTCCTTACAGTTTTCCAGTAGAGCCACTTCATTAATAATAGGAAAGTAGGAGTGCTCGCTGGCAGCATTTTTAACGTTTACACCAGGATTTCTCAGACGTCATTGCACCACAACCCCCTTGTTATAACAAAAAATTACTACATGTCCCCAGAAGTGGGAACTGAAGCCTGAGCCTACTCGAGCTCTGCTGTCATTGGGTGCCAAAGCCAAAGAACAAGGGCCTCAACCCTAGGCAAGGGGCCTATAACCTGAACCCCCGTGCCCAGGGCTAAAGCCCTCAGCTTTGGGCTTCTGCCCTGAATGGTAGGGCTCGGGCTTTGGTCCTGGGCCCCAGCGTGTGTAAGCCAGTTCTGGTGACCTCGTTAAAATGACCCACTTTAGGGTCCTAACCCACGTTTAAGAACCACTGGTGGAGACCTCTCAGCCAGTGGAAATGGTGCCTATGCCCTATCTACTACCTGGTTGGTAAAATTGGCACAGCTGTTTGTGTTCTGATATAATGCTGCTTTATTTTCTTAGTGCTTGTCAGAGGTTCTTGTAGAGATATGAGAAAAATGTGTCACCAACTCAGTCCAAGCCCATGTCTGTTGTAGCTAAGCTTTGATGCAGTGGCGTTACAAATGAATAATATACTTCTTATATTTGTTTAGGCTGTCATGGCTTTGGAGACCATTATAAATTCACTGCCACTCTCCTTCTTTTCCTCTTACATCGTATACCGACATGTGACTAGCAATAATTCCATTCCTGGTCTCTTTGTATTTTACAGAAGCCTTTCCATTTTCCCTGTTAACTCTGCTCCCTCTTCCCCAGTCTTTCTGGGTAGTCTAATTGCTTTTAACACCTTCCTGGTTGGGAGATTTATTATCATGCAAATAAATAGGTCACACTATTCTTAGAGCAGAACTCTTTAACATATTGACAACAAATTCACACTAGTGGCTCCTTTGTGCTTTGGGGAAAATACAGTTTTTGGTGATAATGTAATGCAGACTGTCAGCATTAAAATCATAGATTCGGATGCATTCAAGTAATATTAATAGGCTGGTTATCTGTCCAAATCACCTTTTACAAAAAAACACTTAGGAGGAAAAATTGGCAATCACAAAATGCCAAGGGCAGTAAGCAGGGCTCTGTGAACTCTGAAGAGGTCAAAACAACAAGGAGTCCAGTGGCACCTTAAAGACTAACAGTTTTATTATGACATAAGCTTTTGTGAGTGCCAACTTACTTTGACAAGGTGCCACTGGACTCCTTGTTTTTGACGAGACAGGCTAATACGGCTAACTCTCTGAAATCTCTAGAGATGAGTTCATGAATCTTAACTTCATCATTTGGATCCCAAAGGTTGGAAGCAAATCAACGCTGTGCAGATTAGGAAATTCAAGCTAGCTGCACTTGCACCCTCCAAGAGGGTCTGAGGAGTTTTGGTGTCTGTTGATGGGGAGTATGGGCGTCAGCCTGGGAAATATTCAGTATGCATGTACACACAGACATACACACAGTCCTTTGTGTGTGTTTGATTTTAGTTTATTTTAAAAAATGTTTAAATTAAATAAGGCAGCTGGCCTTTCAGAATGTATTCCTATTTCAATTCAAGTGTAAAAGTAAACCTTGCTTCATGCAAATATATTAATAAATTCATTCAATAACCCCAAAATGTATGGATTATTCAGTTAACCATGTCAAGAGATTATATAACATGCTACCCAAGCTTTTATTTCAGCTAAGAATAGTGCCTTTTCAAGGCAATCCAATTCAGGAAGCACTTAGTGAATTTAGCGTGCATCATAGTATACTCAGTTGCACATTTTAATGATGTATTGCAACAATATGCCCTACTAGATGAGCATTTTGTGGATGAAATGAGAGTGGAGACACTGCCAAAATCCATTTCAGATGGATTTTAAAAAACAATATGGGATTTGTAGCACTTATCTGTCCAAAATTAAAAATAAAACTCCCCCAATGATAACAACAAAATGTATCAGCTTAATATTCTGTCCTATTATTAGATCTATATAGGATATCCTCAGTTCACTGACTGATCACATTTTTTCATCTATTAGTCTACTTTATTTAGAATAAATCTGATTCTTACCCCCTGTTTGATGTAGGGTATTTGGTCATTAGATCAGTGTTACCTCCTTTGTGAGTCAATTAGAAAAATATTCTTTAAATAATTATGTTCCACTTATGTCTTTTTACACCTTAGGTTCCTAAACCAGTAGACTACTCTTGCCAGCCATGGTGAGTTCTGGATCAGTCCTATGCTAAGCATGTTGAAATAGACATAACTCTGTTTATCACAACCTAATTTAAATTGCTTTAACTTTTTTTGGCTTATGAAGAATGAATTATGTAGCCATTTTGGAAAACAACACTGAATATACACTGCCTAAAATAATGTCTCATATTATAATGTGCTTAATGATTTAAAATTTTGTTTACAAGTCTATATATACACAGTCTGTGTCTCTAAACTCATGCAACAAAAAAGCAGAACAACATGAAACATGCAAGAAGATGTTACATTTTAAGTAGCTAAGCAGAATGAAGGAAGTGGTATTTTGTTTTGTGAATAATTCTGCTTAAAGCTTGTTTGACTGAAAAGCAATCTAGAAAGAGATGGACATGGACACGCTACATCCACTGTCAAAGTGGATCATAGTGTATATATAGTGTGAACTCTGGAGTGAATTTGACTTAAAAAGGTTATAAGTGCACAGTGACTGATTCTGATTTCATACTGCTTTTACAATGACTTGAGTAGATTTGTTCCCGATATATACTTGGCTTTCAGTAAGTGAGATCAGAATCAGATCCCACTGACCAAAACAAACATAAGTTTTTATAGTTGTTGAATAGTACATAAAAAATAAACTACAGTTGACTGATTCTGCAGTCTGCTACACCAGCTTCATCTAAAGTCAATGGAGTTACACCAGTATAAGACTGGTATATTACAGTGTTGAGTCAGGCTCAAGATTTTCAGCTTGTGATACAAAATAGTACAACTAAGTAAAATTCCAACACCTGGTCCAGGCCATGTTTTAATTACATTTTTAGCTTGGCCTCAGTTCAGCAAAGTACTTCAATATATGTTTAAATGCTTTAGAAGTCAATGGGATTTAAGCACATGTTTAAGGCTTTTCCTAAACAACCAGTTTTGTTAGTCGGGGTGTAAAAAAACACACCCCTGAATTGCTGGTATGGACAACACTATGTAATCAAGAGAGGCTCTCCTGCTGAGATAGCTAATGCTGCTGATTGTGGGTAGGGTTCTGAAATAGCTACTGCTGCTGATTGTGGGTAGGGTTATATTACTTTCCAACACAATCTTGAAACACAGTTCACTCACCAGGAATTTTATGCACTAGCTTATGTAGAATATTAGAACATTAAATTGGAAAGATCTGTGGCATGGCTTCAAAGATGAGCATGGCTAGTATTTATTTGCTTTCCTTTGTTACAGGTTTGCAGGAGCAATGGAGAGGTTGCAAGCTGAAAGTGAACTTATTAACAGGGGAAATAGAACTTATCTGGTGCGATATAGGACCAAAGAGTCAGGAGAATACGCAATTAGCATTAAGTAAGTGGGACAAGAACATTTACAATATAGATTTCTTGTTTTCGTTATTGGTTAGGTAGATGTTTATATTAAATGCAGAAAATTGTTAATCTCACTGCAGCCTAGATAGTCATGTAATATACGATCACTTAGTACATAAAATATCAGTTGCTAGAAAAGAAGTTCAGGCACGTAGGACAAAAAGTGTAAATTAGTATTGCTACACTTAAGTTAATGGAAAGATACCATAGGCTGTTGGACACCAAAGTTTACATTGGCCTGTTGAACAGTAACAGGCAATTGTTCAGACCTGATTCAGCTCCTGTTGATGTCAGTTGGTAGTCAGGGTAGTCAGTTCAAGTCTTTATTGACTAGGACATTTCAGTAAAGTTTGTGTTAGCAAATATATTTCAGTAGTGTGTGTTCTGTCAGCAGAAAATAGTAAGAGGGTTTTGTTTGTTTCCACATCGATCCTCAATATGATCTTGAAAGCAAGCAATACATAGTGTCCCTGAATTGGAACATTTTTTCTGAATACAGGCTACATCTTCATTCATATACTAATAAATATATTTGGTTAATTAGATGTCAGCTGTGTATTGGCATGGATATACATTTTGTCTTAAGAATTCATTCATGTAATGTTTTGGGGGTATGTCCTCAGGCAATTATTGATCTCCACTGATTAAAAACACATTTATATTCATAAGTTATTAATTGCCCACAGGTATAATAATGAAGTGAAGCATATCAAGATTTTAACAAAAGATGGCTTTTTCCATATTGCAGAAAATAAGAAATTTAAAAGTTTAATGGTAAGTATTGATGAGGTTTTTTTCAACGTGCAACTCCCATGTAACTATTTCTGTTGAAGTACATGCTGTTTCTCTACATTTGCAGAGATGTGGCAGGCACAAATATTTTTAGGTTACAATCAAGTCCATTATTCAAACTAGAGTGTTTTATATATTTGTAGATGTCTTTAATGCTGGTGTTTGGTGTAAAATTAGGACCAGTTTGTGGCACCTGCAGTGATCTGCTTTGAGGAGAAAAAATCTGCATCGGGTCAGAAACTGGTCTCTGTATTCTTTTGAGGCCAGAGATTACTGCCACCCTAGTAGTATTCCCCTTCATGATAACCAGTCCAAAAAAGGCAGGGAGTAGTTTGGACAACAACACTCCCACATACATCTAATGATGCACAATCACTCATTGCCAAGTGTCGTCATCTTCCAGGGGAGTTGTAGACCCTCAGGTGGCTGATAAGGCCAATCTTTGAACCACAAATTCTATTACAGTGAGGACAGATGTTTCCAGGTACAGCAGGAAGCTGTTGATCATGACTAGAAGCCAGTCTCCCCTTCCTCCTGCACTTCTCCTCCTCCTCAGCTTGTTGGTGGGCTAATTCAAAACGTAGGAGGATATTGCATATGACTTCTCTCCATTTTGAACAATTCTGGGCAAGTGTCTTCCAAGTGTCAATGTTAATAATATCCTTTAGCAAGTCCTTATAACACTACCATTATCCTCCCACGGTATCCTTCTTTCAGATGAGGAAACAGGACCTGTTTTGGGAGGTGATGGTCTGGCATCTGAACAATGTGACCAGTCCAGCGAAATTGCCTACCAATTATCATTGCCTCAAGACTGGTGGTCTTTGCCTCTTCCAGAACACTAACGTTAGTGCACCTGTCTTCACATTTGATCTACAAGATTTTGCAGAGGCAACAAGCAGTTTGGTGTCTGTTTGAATGTACCATAAATGAGCAAAGGTTCCACTGGTACAAATCAGACAATGTTGGATTTCTAGGTCAGTATCTGCCTTGGAAGTTATCTTTCATCCTAGGTAGAGAAAAATGATCGATATTCTCCAATACTACTTCATTGATTTTAATAGATGGAGTGTATGGAGAGGGCTGATGGAGCACTTTGATCTTCTTGATGCTGAGGGTGAGACCAAGAGGTGCATAAGCATCAGCAAACACGTTCAAGATAGTTTGAAGATCTTTCTCAGAATGGACAAAAACTGCATTGTCATCAGCATATTGAAGCTCCACAACAGATGTTTAGCTTTCAGCCTGCTAAGCCTAAACAGCTTCCCATCCATTCTGTAGATGATTTCAATGCTAGATGGGAGCTTCCCAGCTATTAGGTTAAAAAATGACAGCAATAAAAACTGCAAACATGGTTGGGGCAATGATACATCCCTGTTCGTCTCCTATTGGTACTTCAAAAGGTTCACTCTGGGATCCAGTGCTGCTCAGAACAGTCGATTTCATGTTGTCATGAAGCAACATTTGGACATTGATGTATTTATCAGGACATCCAGTCTTCGAAGGTAGAGGGCACAGCAATTCACTGAGTCTAAGGCTTTAATTAGCTTAATAAAAGCCATGTTCAGTGGTTGGTTTTGCTCCTGACACTTCTTTTGCAGCTGCGTTGCAGTGAAGATCGTATCTGCAATTCTACGACATGGTTGGAAGTCACTCTGTGACTCTGTTAGTATTTCTTCTGACCGGGGCAAAAGATGGGTTGCAAGGACCCATGCCAGAACTTTGCCTGTAACGGCAAGGAGAAAGATACCATGATAGTTTCCACAATCTGCTTTATCCCCTTTCTTAAAGAGAGTAACAATCAAGGCTTCCCTCATTTCACTAAGTATCTCCTCCTTTATCCAGATTTTAAGGATAAGAAGGCTGAACTGCCGAATTACCTCCATGGAGATCCATGGAGAGGACCCTTCTAATAAACCTTAGCTGTTAGGGATGTTGTCCGGCCTACTCTCTGGGATGCGTTAACAGGGATTATGCTAATCTAGTAGAAACATTTTTTGTCTGTCTCATCAATATAAATCAGTTGCTGTCAAGCCCAGTCTGGTGCTCAAGTTGCCTAAGAGGTTTTTCTTGCTACCACTGGTTTCGCTCTTGCAGTGTAAGAAGTTATGTTGATAGGGCTCTAGATGGGGGTTGGTTTTTTTTGGCATTTTCTATTCTGTGTTGCCTACCTGTGTTCAGACCAGCTCTCATCTCTTCAGACTGTATAGTGTACAAGGGCTTTGTCTTAGCTCTCATGGTACTCTCAACACTTCTTTAGTAAAGGGGGTATATCCAGAGAATAGGCCTATAGCAGGAGTGCTGACATAGTGAAGAAATCCATAACTAGAGTTATGGCCCGTTGGGGTCATTGACAGCCAGTCTAAATAAAAGAGCTGCTCCAGCTTATGATGGGAGCCAAAGTGCTGTGGATTAAGGGAATGCAAAAGTGGTCCCTATACAAAGTATAGGTGAGCCATGCTCAGTAATTGAGCCCAAGGCATTATAATGACCTTGTACGATGAGGTTCATTTTGTTACTGATTTGAAATGTCTTCCCAAAATCCTCTGGTAATGGGGAGAAATTCTTTTGAATCCAGATCTCTTCTTTGGAAAATTTTCTCAAGAAGAATCCTGGCCTTTATTTCGTTTTGGTTATACAACACTTATACAGATAAGGCGTCTGAATGAAGTACCCCAAATTTCACCAAGCAAGCATTTCATAGAATCATAGAATAATAGGACTGGAAGGGACCTCAAGAGGTCATCGAGTCCAGCCCCCCGCCCTCAAGGCAGGACCAAGCTCCGTCTACACCATCCCTGACAGATGTCTATCTAACCTGTTCTTAAATATCTCCAGAGAGGGAGATTCCACCACCTCCCTTGGCAATTTAGTCCAATATTTGACCAATATTTGCTGTTAGGTTGTTAAGGGATGCTAGTTAAACATATTATACTTAGATCAGACAGTTAAATAACACTGATACTGTATCTTTCCTGCATACCTCTTCAAAGCACGCTACAAACAATAAACACAAATGAGGCACAATGCAAAGCAAGAATTGGGAAGAATGCTGCTAATCAAGGAAATCTTAACACATGATTTAAATTTAGTCCCCGAAAAGAAAAGATTTTCAAAGCAAGAACATTTTGTGAGTGACAAGGAGTTAAACCAAGATCTATACTCAGTGTGATCCTAATTCAAAAACTCTTCATTCAAATGTGAGTAGCACAGACCCCATAGCAAGTACACATTAAACTGATTTCACAAACTGATGTGTCTTCACTTGGCAGCAGCTAGAATCCAGTGAAGTTCGCTTAGAAAAAAAAGCAGTATGCCCAGAGATTTCACTTTTGATAACAGAGAGCTCAATTGAACTTGCAAATACATGAAGGGAGGAGTAAATAAATCTTACAAATATTTCAGTAGTTCTCTTGGGAAATGATGAAAGGGATATTATCAGTATGATGTCAAGACATCTCATCGGGAGTCAGATCCTGAAGAATGTCCTTAGGTGATAGTGAGATAGTTTTGCAGTATGTTTGATACAGATCGCTAAACAAAGCTGCAAATCAGAAATAACTACAGGATCGCCAGTTCTGAAAGCAAATTAAGGGAGTTCCCATCAAAGGTGACATACAGGGAGGAAAACAGAAACCTGTGCTGAAAAGACCCATCGATAGCAGATCAACCTTGTTAACGTTGAGTTTGAAAAAATTGTTTGACACCCTAGCCTTGGTATTATAAAGTGTGCCGTGTGTTGGATTGGTGGATCTATGTGAGCAACATTGGCTTGTGCCATAGCACACTTCCTTTGCTGTGGAGACAACATCATGCCTTTCCAGAAGAATCAAGTAAATCCATTCTAAAAACTAATTTTGTATGGGATCTGTGAGTGGCAGGGTAAAATCAAATCAGATATTGTGTGGGCCTTAAACAATGACCGCTATGGCAAAGTATATTTCTAAGGTAATTAACAAAAGCAGGAGCTCTCCCAGCCTGCTTTTTATTTATCAGATATACTGTGGAAATGATGGCTGTTGTGTGGAGAACATAGATAGGGTGTCCAGCTATAATATATAAGGATCCTTTACTAAAGAGCCAGATCTCTCAGTCAGTGAACTTTTGTCTCAGTTGACTTCACTGGAGCCTGATTTAAATGGCTCAGGATATGGCTATTCATCTCTCTGTAGACTTGTCATGGAAGTCGGAAGATGTGTACATCAATGTTTTAAATCCTCATTTTTCAAATTATTATTTTGATGTAAATAATGAACATAGACAAAAAGCTGTAAAAGTAGAGGACTTGGGGCCATTTCACTGATTTGTTAGTAAAATCTGCCATGTTAATGGGCATCCAATATCATCAATTCCTCCTAACTTACCTGAACCAAGTTATGCACCATTCATTTGGTGCTCCATGTAGCGGGGAATCCATTTCCAGCTGCTTCCTATAAAGCATACTTTCTAGTATATGTTGCATTGATAATTTGAATGCTTGAGTATTCAGTGACAACTGCTGTCATTGCAACATGCCTGCGGCATTAATGTAATACAACAGAAGCACAAATATTTCTTTTTTTTCCTGGCTTTTCTGTTTACTTGGAGGATCTGGAGGTCAATGATTGTGAGCTACTTAAAGCAGCTGTGAATTTTAGTTTTGGTAGATTTTACTTTTGAACCAGTGACTGAGACATACAAAACGTATACAACATGGGACTGAAGAGTTCCAAAATTAAATTCAGAAATGTAACATTCAGACTGTTTTCATGAACTTACACTTAGTTCTTGCCTGAATAATTTAAGGGTCATTTTATTTGTTAACACTAATTTATTGCATGGACCATTTTGGATTTTTGTAGAAGAGCACGGACTGGTTTTGGGGAGCTTGTTTGTAAATTCAAATTAAATTACTGTTTTTTTTCCATATTTGGACTGAAGCTTGGCCTGATTGATTTTGTTTTTGGAAACTTAAACATTTCAGAACAAAATGGGATTATTGAATGAACTGGTGATGAGAGTTAAGTGTTTACAATAAATTAATTGCTGTATTTGATTTTGAAAAACGAAATGCCATGCTTGAAGGAACAGAATAATTAACTGAACTGTATTTGCTTTGCTTTTTCCTATTCAACATTTACCCTTATTTTTTTCTGTAGAGAAAGTCTGTACTGAACTTATTGATGTCAATCTGTTGATCCAACCCAAGGACTTGTCTATACAGGCAGTCCCCGACTTACGCGGATATGACTTATGTTGGATCCGCAGTTACGAACGGGGCTGCCCCGGAGGACACGGATTGCGGGACCTTGCGGTCCTGCCGCCCGTGTACTCCGGGGCTTTCTCCGCGTCTCCCTGGTCTGTAGACCCGGAAG